GCGGCCGGCTTAATTAAGGCAACCGCCGGCGAAAATCGTCTTCGCTGGTGGCTGGCTAAGACAACAGCTAGCACAAATAATATTTTCGCTGGCGGAAGATAAAGATACCCGCTAGTGAAAATATTTTTTGGATTAAAAAAAAAAAGAAAATCGGAATCCAGATTTTGAAAAAAAAAATTTGAAAATCGCCAGCGTGCCCATCCTCCATCGCCGGCGACAAGGAGGGCAGAGGTCGACGAGGAGGTGGGTCGCCGCCATCGAGCCCGGCCACCGAAAGTCCTCGTCACTGAGCCGCCCCTCCTCCTTGTCACTGAGCCGCGCCGCTGCCGCTCGTCTTCCTCGGCAACGAGCCATCCACCGGCCCCACAAGACCCACCGTCTCGCGAGTCCGCCCTCCGCGTGCCTAGCCGGCGGATCCGCCGTCTGCAGGCCTTGCCGTTGTCGGTTCCGCCGTCAGCACGCCTCGTTGCCACCGGATCCGCCGCCTCGCGAGTCACCGAAGCTCCGCCCGTCGACCAAGCCACCGCGCGCCACGAGCTTCATCGTCGTAGCTCCCGAGGCCCGGCAGGCGGCCGGATGGAGAGATGGAGAAAGGAAGGAGAATGGTGGGAGGAGAGGCGGAGAAGCGTGAAAATTATTGGTGGGCGGTGGATTTTTCGCAGCGTTGCTCTTTACCATCCGCTAGTGAAAATCGGTGCATTAAGTGGGCCGTCAAGGAAAATAGCTACATCTTCACTAGCGGCCCGCTTAACTCGGCCGCCAACAAAGATTTGTTTTCGTTGGCAGTCCATAGCCCCCCACCTCTCGTTACGTTTTTGCTAGCGGTTTTCGCGTATGACCACCAGCGAAAATGATAGGGTAACGCTATGAAAAATCTTTTTTCTAGTAGTGGTAGACACATTATTCACTGTCATGTTTGTCTTTGTTGCTCTATAGATCAAATTTGGATTTTATATTTGTGGAAGTAGGTGTCACACTACTCTACATTATTGTTAATTTTGCTATAACTTTTCATAGTGAATTTGAAAAGTACAGTACACAAGGGGACACATTCTCAAGGGATAAAATGCCGCTTCCTATTTATGAACTCTTTTGGATGAGAACAAATCCCTAGGAATTGACTTGGATACTAGATTGTTGGAAAATGGAAATTATGTTCCCAAATACAAAGCATTCTAAACGTAATATCAGTTTGGGTCGATTGATAACTTGGAAAAATATATTTTGTTTTTGATGAAATATTGAAACATTATATGTTGTGAGACAATTTAATAATGTTAAGTTAATTAAGAGATAAAATCCTCTAGAGTATGTTAAGTTAATTAAGAGATACAATCCTCTAGAATACTACAGTGGATTGTTATTCATTCTATTTTAAAATGAATGACACTGTTGACTTATGAACATAACATTTGATCATTAATCTTAATAAAAAAATTTATGTAAATATGAAGAATATAAGTCGTGGGTCAAATAAAATTAATGATGAAATAAGTCGGCATAACAAAATAAATTGTAATTGTATAGTTGTTTTAATAAAATATCGCGGTATATAGTTTTTTCGAGGGACAGCAAAAGCTTTGCCTCGTATATTAATTGAGAAGGAGAAAATTATACAAAAGACAAACAAAGATATGTACAGGGCCTATCAAAATAGATGAGGCCGAAAATAGGCCCCTAGGCAATATCTCCCAAAATTTCGAACTCCCGGAGCCTAACGGCTCCTGCTTTCACCCATGCTGCCACTTCTTCCTTGATCTTGGCTAGTATTGAGGCCGGCGTTGCTGCTTTGTTGATGAGGAAACTAGGTTCCGATCTTCCAATAGATATTGATAACTGTCGATTTGGTGGAAACTTGACACACACGATCCGAGCCCTACAATCATAGCACCACATCTCCTCTGGTTATCAGCAGTACACTGCCCAGTTGACCTCGCCGAGAAGGCTAATCCCTACATGCGAATCAAAGAACACAAGCAAGAACAAGGTAGATAGCAACTCAATTGCATATGAATAATTAAGCACTCGAATTTGGAGTTCAACAAACCGATTTACCGGCGAAACTGTAATGGCACAAATAATGTAAGCAAAGTCCGATTCTAAACTATGACGGCTACGGAATAAATATGATTTAGGACGTCCTAGGGTTGCCCTAGGGTGCACACCTTTAGACTTAGCCCACGACACAATTACAAGGCCCTAGACCCTAATCAGATTCGGACTGGATGAGGTACGTGGCTTGTTTTGCAAATTCCCGACAGCTCAGTGGTAATTATGACGTGGGACCAAACCATTTGAAAGTAGACTCTATAAGCTTTCCAACAAGTACTCATGGGCCCCAAAATTCTTTCTAGGTCAGCTGCTAGGTCCGTTTGAAGTTGATGCTATCAGGAGACCCGGATCCGAACCCAAAATGTGTAGAACTTTATTTCTTGTCTTCTATAGACCAAAAGTGACATAGACAGGTAGGAGTGGACTTGGAGAAGGTCTTGGTTTGGTTCCCAATCAACTTCTTTGATCATCCATGTATTCCTTACGCTCGGTCTCTTTTCCTTCAACTAAGTAAGTATCTTTGCAAACGAAAATACACTAATTAAACTTATTGTGTGGCAATGTTTGTTCAAATATATAACAAGTAAATCTAATATAGAACTTATGCACCTTTGTTTGATGAATAGATAAGGTAGTCATGGTTATATTCGAGCTAGTTATGTCCTCATCATTCGTGGCGAAAAGTTCTTGCATTCGCTCACACCAAATTTCTTAGGAAACTAGGATCACCAGGGTTTTGAGGGGTTTGCGAAGGTTGTCGGGGGATTCCAGCACAAGGTTCCACCAGTGCTTGACTGAGTAACAATCTTTCTATTTGGCTGTCTGAAGGTCCTTGCTAGTCCATCTCTAAATCTCTGACCACACTATCTTTGTAACCCTACATTTAGCATTTAGCTAGCAGATGAACTGTTGACATCAACCGTACCGCATAACGGGCAAACCTTTTGGTTTTGCCATCCTTCTTTTTACAATCTGTCCGCCGTTCATACTCTATTTTGAATAACTAGCCAGGAGAAAAATCACTACTACACTACAGATTTTCCTAGACACCAAACTAGTTTGTTTCCAGGCGGCCCATAAGTGCAATCGTATAGAAAAATGAAAAAAGGGGCATCAGGACATCACCCGCACAGGAAAATCTATTTTCGTGTGCGGGTCACTTAACAGGCCCACACGCGAAAATAGGCTTATTTTCACGTGCAGGCCTGTTAAGTGGCCCGCACACGAAAATAACCCACCCCCAGGCGCTCACCCTTATCTTGTCACGGGCGCGCCCTCCCCACCACCTCTCCATCCATCCTCCCTCTCCCTCTCCCTCTCCCTCTCCTCCTCCCCATCCTCCCATCTCCCTCTACCTCCTCGACGACGCCGGCACTGTCGGTAAGGGAGGCAGAGGCGGCGGCGGTGGCGGCACGGCGGCAGCGATGACAGCGCGGCGGTGGAGGCGCGGGATACGGCGGGCGTCGGCCGTCCCCGCACGGATCCGGCGACCCGCGCCGTATCCGGCGGCCGGCCGCCCTCCCCCCGCCCCGGATCCGGCGCGGGAACCGGCTGCCCTCCCCTCCCCTCCCCGGCAGACGGGAGCGCGCGGACGACGAGCTGCCACGGCTCCTCCCCTCCCCTCCCAGGCGGCGACGGGAGCGCGTGGGCGGGCGACGACGGGCGGCCCGCGGCCGTCCGCGCACGGATCCGGTGGCAGTGGCCGTCCCTGCCCAGATCCGGCGACTGGCCGCTCTCCCCCTATCACGGATCCGGCGCGGGAGGCCGGCAGGAGGCGGCGCTGATGATGACGAGGCGGGAGCGGCGATGCCGCCGCCGCCGACGAGGCGAGGGCGGTGGCGACGACCCGATCTAGGGTTTTCTCTTTTTTTTTGAATTTTTTTTTCGGTTTTTTGTTTTTTCGTGCGGGCGGCATAAGCACCGCACGCGAAAATCTGATTTTCGTGTGCTGGCGCGCCACCCGCACGTGAAAATCGTGATTTTCCCAGACGATTTGTTCCAGACGGGCCAAAGCTCCGCACGCAAAAATTCGATTGATCGCCTGGGGAAACGCTTTGTGTAGCAGTGAATTTACACTTGAGAGACGCCCATGACTTCCAAATCAGAATTAAATTTGAAAATATACAGTTTATTCAATTTTTTTGTTAGAAATATTCGGGATGCAAAATCTTTTGCACAAATATACCATCGGTCTCATAACGATTGCGTGAAAATGACGTGAAAATGACGTTGCGACCGGTATCGCGCAGTGAAAATGCGAGACCGAACGACCTTGCGTGGTTCCTGCGCGAGACCACGCGGTCTCGCTCAAGCAAACAGCGATACCGCTCAAGCAATCAACGCTATCGCTTAAGCAAAGAGCGATACCATGCCTTGCCGATTTAATTAGCGGTTAATTATCCTCATTAGCGATTAGTTAATAATTAATTAATCGCTAATTAGGATAATTAATCACTAATTAGTATTAGTTAATTATTAATTAGGTACTTAATCACTAATCAAATGGACCCATTAGACAGTGTCGCTGATGGCTTCTGCGAGACCGTTCGGTCTCGCTCTTCCATTCCGCGAGACCGCACGGTCTCACTCCGTTACCGCGTGAGACCGCATGGTCTTTCGCCGCGTGATACTGTCCGCGCGCGATGTCATCCCCACGTCATTTTCGTGCAACGGAAGTGCAACACCGATGGTATATTTCTGCACAGGTTTTTTCATCCCGAATATTTATGAGACAAAATTGAATGAACAGTATATTTTTAAATTTAATTATTCCAAATCATTTGGTTAAAGCGGTACTCGCAGGCAGCCCCGAGGAAATTGGAGTCTGTAGGCTGATTTATAATAATTTATGTGTATTGCGCTATAGTCCTATCGGCAACTACACCCTCATTTCATCGAGTCAAAGTAATATAGTATTTTGACCGGAGAACTATAGTTACTTGCAATACAAGTCTATTAGTATTAATAACGTCAATCACTTCCGCGCTAGAAATTAGTCATCAACACCATAATCCTTCTCTCTCACCGATCACCGGATAATTAAGGGCCAGCTCAAGCTAGGCCACCATCACCGCCACCACACCATGGGTTCGCGTTCCGGCTCGTCGACGACGACGAGTACGCCGCCAGTGGCGCCGGATGAGAACCGGCCGCCGGTGGTCAAAGGGCCGGCGATCTTCAGCTACACCTGCGCTGGCCTCGTCACGGGCGTCGCGCTCGTCGCCGTCGTCGTCTTCTACTGCAACCGCCACGTCCGGAGGCGCGCGCATGTCGTCGTCGCCGGCGGCGGCGGGCGAGAGGACGACGACGTGCGCAGCGTCGCTGGCGTGGCGGCCAAGATCCCGGAGTTCGCGTACACCGGGTCGGCGAGCGGCGGCGAGGGGGCGGCGCAGTGCTCGGTGTGCCTCGGAGCGGTGCGGGGCGGCGAGATGGTGCGGCGGCTGCCGGCGTGCAAGCACCTGTACCACGTGGAGTGCATCGACATGTGGCTGGCCTCGCACGCCACGTGCCCGCTCTGCCGGACGGAGGTCGAGCCGCCGCCGGGGGACGACGGCGGCCGACCTGCGCCGGCGGCGGGTGAGTCGTCGCCGACGGAGGCGCTGCCACCGGTGTAGCACTGTAGCTAGCTAGCTAGGTCCGTCCATAGTCATCACATCACATCACATCATGATTAGTTAATTCATACGTTTTGGGCATATCATTTCTTGATTTGAACCTTAATCTAGCTTGGCATGTATGTGCTTTGGTTCAGCTTTGTATTTGTAATTAAAGAACACTGAGAAAGATTGCTGTAAAATATATACGTTCTTGGTTTTGAAATCACAGGATTTCAGGGCAACATTTTTTCTGTTTTTACCTGGGTTTAATTGTTGTTTATTATCTAAAAAAATTGGTCCTTAATTTGCCGTACAGATTTGAAATTGCGTGTGGTTAATTTTATTTATTTTTTTCCAATAGCAACAAAATTAGCCCTTTTTTTATTTTCTTTAGTCAACTAGTACCGTACTAGTTTTCAGAAGAAAAAAAACAATAGTGCCGTACTCAGCCGTATAAGCTACCTTGATTCTCACATAAAGCCATAAACAAACATGCATGATATTTCGTTGAATTCAAAACTTTCTTCTCGTTCGTTGCTATCACAAGAGAGAGAACAGAAAACTCGCAAACACAATATCTCATATACTAGTAGTGTGCCCGTGCTAACGCTACGGTGACAATTAATATTTTTTTTTACTGAAACGGTGACAATTAATATTGCAAATGAAACAACCAAATGACAGCGATACAATATGCTTTGACAATGGTACATAAAACATATAGCTAAGCTAAAAAAACGATAAAGAGATATTAGAAAAATATCAATCAACATGTATCCACAACATCATCTAGGAACAAGCTTTGCTATAAAGTACATGTATTGCTCCTATCAAATACACAAAATAATAAATATCTAAAATTAGCTTGACTTAAACCATCCATTTCGCTTCATGTGGTCCTGATTATCTGGACAGGGCTACAAAACAACCAAAATGTATATTGTCACTCTAGTTATTATTTGTATTTAGACAAAAAAAAAGAATATTGTCCATTTCTTACTTGAAGATAAAGTGCTGATGTGGCATATGCCACGCGAATGTGACGTGACATAATATTGACTGATAAATAGGACTCACTTAAAAATTTTCCTTTTCCTTCTTCTTTTTCTTTTCCTTCTCCTTCTCATTCTCATTCTTCTCTTTTTTTCCCTTTATACTCCTTTCTCTATCTACAACTGTAGGCCACCGCCGCACGGGGTGCTCGGGTCACAGAGAAAGGAGAAAAAAAGAAAAAAAGAGAGAGAAAAATGAGAAGGAAAGAAGAAAAAAGGAAAATGAATTTTAAGTCGGTCCCATTTGTCAGTCAAGATGATGCCATGTCACGTCCGTGTTTGTGGCATACCACGTCAACACCACATAGGATCTTAGAGGGGCTATGACAAATTGGGACCTAAGCAACACACTTTGACAAATTCTGAGATTTGGATCTGCATTTTTAGAGTTTAGGGACTTAGATAAAACACCCCTACAAGTTTAAGAACCGCATGTGCACTTTACTCTTTTACATTTTACATTTATAAAGTGTGGTAAATGATCAAACTATGATGACTCTCCGATGTCTCAAATCAAAGTTGTAGCTATATATATACAAAACACATTGTGGCTTGAGGCACTTTTCTGTTGCATTGGAAGACAAATAGCAATCAAAGCAGAATACTGGAAAATAGGAATTAGATCTTCCTAGTCTATAGTAAAACCTTCACATTTGAAACCTACTACAGACTCATACTTGAGACAAGTTGACGGTTCAGACGTTCAGCTATCTTGAAAATAAACAATCTGAAGTGAGCTTTATGAAAGCTACACTCATATGTTACCTGGGAATTTATCTAACAGTTGTAAATATTGCACCACACATATTAGTCCAACAAATAGGGGAAATTCATATATTTGTCAATTAAATATTGACGGAAAGAATCAGATGTTTTTCGCTGTGCCATACAGCATATCTCGGAAAGCTAAGGAGACAGAAATATACCTTACCTTTCAAAAAACCATCATCCTCATTCTTCAGAAGATATGTTAGCATTGGAGTTATTAGTATCCATGGAGCCCTCCACATAAAGCCTAGACTTGTATGCATTTTTATGTGGAGGTCATCAATCCATGTCTGATCAGCAAAAGAAATTATTAGTCAGACCTAAAACACCGAAAACAATGGTGATCTGGCGGCGACATTGAAACTTCAGTTAAGTCTGAAGACCTGAAACAGCGAAACAATTCATAGTTGAACTCCCGATTGATTTGTTAAACTATCCTAAACTCAATTGGGTAAATTATTAAATTGGATTGAATACAAGATTGGTTGCAGGGCATTGAGTCGAAGTACTGAAACATTTGTAAAATCAAAATTTTAATCTGAAAACCTAAACATATGCATACACTTCCCTGTGCTGTCGCAGTAGTAGTTGCACGCCCATTAGTAATTGGATTGATCCTGTCCAAACCGGTTCTCCTTCTCCATCATCTAGGCTCGCTTGTTCTGTGGCAACGGGAGGAATTCCACTCATTAGAACCCTAAACCCATGAAATACAGAGCTAAAAACTGAAACAGCACTTCCATCTATCAGAACACTAAATCCACGAAGGAGAGCTAAAAACTGAAAAAGCAGTTAGGATTGATGTGTTTCACCTTTACTTTTCTGCACATGCAGGATGATACCCCATAAAAAGAACCAAACACTGATCCATCGTGCCTGCCCATTGCAGACGGCTAGATGAGACTCCGGGCAACGGTGATCTGGAGGCGCGGATTGGGGGAGGCGTGGAGGCGGGCACCCAGGCGGAGATCGGGGGCGGCGAGGGCGCGGAGGAGATCGGCGAGGAAGGCGTCGATAGTGACGCCGGCGGGAGAGATCGCCGCGGGCTGGTGGACGACCTGGCGAGAGATGAGAGCGGCCGGTGATGGTTAAGGGAGGGATGAGAGCGCGCACACTACTAGAAAAATCATTTGTTGCCACGAAAAAAATCGTGGCATCAATACTTAAATTGTGGCAATACATACATGTTACCACAATTGTAAAATCGTTGCTAGCCGTGTTAATAGACAGCGTGGTAATAGGTTATTGCAATGATTTTTATTTTGTGGTAATAAATTTAGATGTTGCCACGGAATGGATGTGGCAAAAAGTCATATTGCAACACTTTACATCGTTGTAATAAAAATTATTGCCACCACTCCATATGTGGCATTAGTGTTACGTACCAAATTAAAAGTTCAAATATTAATCTATCATCCTATCTATTTATCTACTTATTTTTTTGATTTTGTGTCTTGGCTAGGATTCGAACCTAAGACCTATCCTTCACGCGTGCTCTCCTTTACCAACTCACCTACGCATCAATTCTGTTGGAAAATGCATATCGTTCCATTTGAGCCTAGCTAACTAAGATTTGAATCATAGATTTGAATATCTAAAAGATTTCAAATGAAAAAGTTATCACCTACAAAATTGTAGATCTCGTCGAGAGCTATAATTTCCATATAAAATTTGTCTCAATCCGTGTCCATATGAAAAAATTAAGTTAAATTATGAGACGACAATTTTTTTATTGCAATGAATTTGTTGATCGTGGCAACAAAAAATAGTGAAAAGTACCATGTACTATATAAATTGCCACAAAAATTAAAATTGTGGCGATAGAACATGTTTTTTACAACAGTACGATTTTTTATGGCGATATCTCATTTTATATTGCAACAAAAGTACTAAATAAAACAACGATTGTAGATCGTTGCAATAAAAAATAATTATTTGCCACAGAAAAATTATCATTGTAATAGTATAATATATTGCTACGTATTATTTTTTGTTGTAATAATTTGGTGGCAATAGCTCAATTATCATGTAGTGGCAGAGGAGATTTGCGAGGGCGGCGGCGAGGGAGCGTCTGGAGAGGAGGCCGGCAGCCGTGGCTGCTGATGAGGCGATGCGGCTACGAGGTGAGGAGGCGACACAGGGAGGAGGGCGAAGGTGTAGGATCAATCCGATGCGAGGTGGAGGCGCGGAGGAGATTGGAGAGGGCGGCGGCGATCGCGGGTCTGGAGAGGAGGCCGACGGGCGTGGAGGAGGCGACGCGGCGGCGGGGCGAGGAGGCGACGCGGCGGCGGGGCGAGGAGGCGACGCAGCGGCGTGGGGAGGAGATCAATCCGAGAGAGGAGATGAGCGATCGCGTGATGGGGGAGGAGATTGACGCTGTTGGATATGGCATTCGGATGGTTGAGATTACGTGTGTCTATCAGATGCGTCTGCTCTGTTAGGAATCAAGACCACCACTATGGATTTTTGAAGTAGTAGAGATAGAGATATCTTCTCTATTGATCAATTAACATAGGAATTTTATTGATGCTCCAAGCTAAGAGTGAAAAGAGAACCAAAGGGAGAAGTATTTGGCTTTTAAAAGGGAAATAAAAGTAATGTTTGAGCTAGCTCATTGCTTGGTTTTCTATGGAAAAAGGGCATAGGGACCAAAACTAAACAAATGAACGGGTAAATCTCAATATGAAACGAGGATGAGCCACGCAAGCAACAAAATAATGACCGTCTGATTCAAACAACGATAATATAGGACCGTCTGATTCAAACAACGATAATATAGGGAGAAAGTATATATCATAGCCATAGGATAAGATAAATGGTCTGAAAATAATCTTGGGGCAAAGAAGAATCTGGAAAAGTTTAGTAAAATCAAAAAAAAAAAGAGAGAGAGAGAGAGAGGACCAGTCCCCACTGTTGTGCTATCATCGCCGCCACCATCCAGCCGCTCCGCCAGTGCTCAAGTGGTCACCTGCAACGTCGCTAACTCACTGCTGCATCATTGACATTGTCGGCTCACGACAGCAATTAACAGGAGAGGAAGCGATGAGACGTAGAGGGACTGTGGGAGCACAACAAGGGAAAGATGAGTGAAGTCTTCTTGGCTTCCATGTCCACCTTCCGTCGGGCCTAGCTCGTCCATTGGAGACCAGCAGCTAGAGAATGAGAGAGAGTCAGAGAGAACTAGAGAAACCTCGTCGGTAACAAGGCAAACGGAGAAAATGAGAGAGGGAGAGAGATAGAAAGAGGGTTGTGCAGCTCACAGCTAGCTCTCAAGTCCTAATGCCACCTGTTCGTGACATCTGACTCTTGGAACTTTTCTTTCATTTTCATCTTTAGTATATTTTATCCTATGCTCCCCTGAAAATTAAAAGTACTTTAGCAAATGCTCCCATATTATTACTCACCTTTTTACATCAAGGACCTTATAAATTTTGAATTTACTCCATTGTGTATTGCACTTTACATATGTGATTTTGCTTGGCACCTTTTTTCGAAACCTACAATGAATACTAGAGCATGGCAAGCGGCTACGTAATTATCTTATACTAGATCATTCCATTTCTTGGCAGGCGGGCACATAATTTAGGAAATTTCATGAGACAGTAAGCAAAATTCTCTGATTTTGGTTCGTGGTAAGATTTACTTATTAGAAGATATATCTATTTATTTATAACTAAAATTCCTCTTTGAACACCTATTTAGCATCTCAAACAAAAATGAATTTACAAAAATATATGTACCATAAGCGGAGATATAAAGGAGGATATATATAAGGGAAGGACACAACTCAAGAAACATAGAAGAGAAGACGGTTATAGATGCAAAGATAGGAAGGAGAAATACCAGCAGATAAGACCAATAAAAACCCTAACCTTGATTCTTACACTCATCATTTTATTCCGTCAAAATATGTGTTAGCTGTTTCAAACTACAAGCCTATTGTTCAAATACTAATTTTGTATGTACCTACGGTAAATATTTGATATATGATAATATTGTTACTCCCTTTTTGGATGAATATTATTAATCCCGTTAATGCTCTACAAACACTTATTCACACATAAGGATAAATCAAGATAAATCCACAACCATAAATAACATGTAAACATATTTAACAGCGAGATAGGTTATATATAGTCGCACGAAAACGCGACTTAATAAGCTAGTTTAAAGGAACTTGGTAAGCTCATATCATTTGTTCCGTTTTTCTAAGTACTTGTGCGAGTCTCTATTAGGAGTTCACATTATAAAAACAATTTGACTTTTTTTAATGTGAAGCCACCAATATAGACAGTACTAGTATATATATGGTTTTGTAAGAAAATCGAGTACGGTTTTACATCATTTACTCAAAATGTGAAATGTTTTTAACAACTTCGAGCTACGGTTTGTGATATAGTGAAACTGTTGTACAAACCTTTCATGAAGTCTACACATCTATTGATGGTTTTCTTTTAGATAATACGATGTATTTTGCTAAAAAAAGACAAAATTACAACTGGTCGGCCTATGTGTGTCTACCACCACTACAGAATCATTTTTTTCCATGCGGTCAAAATCGATATTCGCACGAGAGTGTGTTATCCACATGCACCAGGTGTCTGCAAAAATCATATTTTTGCATGGGAATAGAGCAACCCCACGTGAAAATCTGATTTTCTCATGTGGGCGCTTAAGCCGTCCGACTACGAAAATGAAAAATCGCAAAAAAAAATTCTGAAAATAGAAACCTAGCCTCGGAACTCTAACCCTAGAAACCAGAAGCCATCGCCGCCGCCACCATCATCGTCATCGCCCCGCGGCAGATCTGCGCTCGTGGGGGCAGAGAGGCTGCGGGATCCGTGCAAGAGGGGGAGGGGCACAGGTTCTGCCCTTCCCGTCGCCGCCGGTAGTGGGATTCCTCCCCCTGAGCCTGCCGCTCTCATCCTTGCCCACTACTGACGCCCAAGCTCGAGCTCAAGACCGCCGCCGCCAAAGCCTGAGCCCGTTGCTGCCTCGTCGAGAGGAGAGGAAGTGGGAGGAGACAGGAGAGGAGGGGGTGGGGGGGAAGGCGAGGGAGTCCAAAGGGAGAGAGAGAAGGGACAGGAGTGGTGGACGGGAGAGAAAAAACATAGAAGTGGAGTGGAGAGACTTAAGGCCTGTTTAATTCGTGAAAAGAAAATTTTTGGGTATCACATCGGATGTTTGACCGGAAGTCGGAAGGGGTTTTCAGACACAAATGAGAAAACTAATTTCATAACTCGCCTGGAAACCGCAAGACGAATCTTTTGAGCCTAATTAATCCGTCATTAGCACATGTGGGTTACTGTAGCACTTATGGCTAATAATGGACTAATTAGGCTCAGAAGATTCGTCTCACGATTTCCTCCCTAACTGTGCAATTAGTTTTTTTAATCTATATTTAATACTCCATGCATGTGTCCAAAGATTCAATGTGATGTTTTTAGGAAAAAAAATTTGGGAACTAAACGAGGCCTTAGTGGGAGAGAGAGGGAACGGGAGTAAAAAGAGTGGGGTATTTTTGTATGTGGCTTCTTAAGAGGTCTTGCATGCGGGCATGTTAAGGGGGGCGTCTGCGAAAATTGATTTTCGTATGCGGTCCTTAAAACGTGCTCTAGAGATCAAATTTTGTAGGTGGAAGTAGTTATGGTCCATCGGCAAACTAACTAAAGGGAGTCTCGTCTAGATAAATTTCCGTAGCAGTGTACAGTCTACTGATTTTTGCCAATTTCCTTCTCTCTCAACGGTGGACGGGGAAGAAAGTAGGCTGAAATCAACCCAACTCCAACGGAAGGATTTGCTTATGTATTTAGAATAATTGCTAAAATAATCTTTGTATTTTTAGAATTATCTCTGTAGCTCCTAAAATAGAAAGAAAATACCAAAGAGTGTCTTAATAAGGCATGGAGATAGGAGAATATAAGAAAAATAATTCCTACCATTATTTATTTGTATTCCCTTATTTACCTTACTACTAGTAGTACATGTAGTTTTTCTTTTATGTGTTGTCCTAATTAAAAATTGTGTAAATATAAAAAATATAAGTCATGAAAATTTATTGTAAATATCAGAAATATAAGTCATGGTTCAAATACCTTTAATGGTATAAGTCATAACAAAATAAATAATAATTACACTGTTTTAAAATAATAAGATGAATGGTCAAACAACCATCAATAAATGAATCACGGTACACATATTGTTGGTAGTAATAGGGTAAGGCTAATGGGCGGGTGATCGTCCGCCCCTCCCTATACGCTCCCTTCTCTCCCCCTTCCTCCTCCCATTCTTCTCTTCCTACTATAGTACACCATAAAAATTTAAAAAAATAAAAAAACAAAGTTGGAAAAAATTATGTATAGAAATACTATATATAAAAAATATTTGAATTCAAATTCAAATTTGAAACGGATATGTAAACTTTTGACTTATAAACTTTGGGTCTATAAACTAATATTTGAATTCAAATTCAAATTTGAACGGGTATGTAAACTTTTGACTTATAAACTTTTGGTCTATAAACTAATATTTGAATTCAAATTCAAATTTGAACGGGTATGTAAACTTTTGACTTATAAACTTTGTGTCTATAAACTTTAGGTGTATAAACTTTAGATGTATAGAAAATACTATATATAAAAAATATTTGAATTCAAATTTAAATTTGAATCGGATATATAAATTTGACTTATAAACTTTGGGTCCCTAAACTTTAGATATGTAAACTTGAGGTGTACAAACTGTGCATAAATTTACTAAATTAGAAAAGTAATACGGTGCCAAAAAAAAAAACCAGGTGGATGGAGGGGAGAGGGCACGAGCTGATCACTAGGGGCGATCAATCACCCATTAGCAATCTCGGTAGTAATATGTGTATTTTGCTATAGTCCTCCCTCCCTAACTAACCATTTCATAGAGTCAAAGTAATATGTTATTTCTATTTTGACCGGAGAACTATTAGTTACTTGCAAAACAAGTTTATTAATAACGCGTCACTTTCGCGCTAGTAATTAAGCGCTTCTCGTCCGTGATAAGTACTCCCTGTATTCCAAATTAGATGTTGTTTTGTTTTTTTAATGTTTAACCGTTCGTTTTTATTTAAAAAGTTAGTGTAAATATAGAAAATGATAAGTCATACTTAAAAGTATTTTGACAAACAAAATAAATAATAATTCTATTACCTTTTAAATAAGATGAATAGTCAAACGTTAAAAAAAACTCAAAATGACAAGTGTTTTGGGGCGAAGATAATATACCACTCTGATTCTCTGAATCTGATCAGCATTCAGGAGAGGTACTCCCTCCGTCCTAAAAAAGACAAACACTGGGTTTCCGTATCCAACGTTTAACCGTCCGTCTTATTTGAAAAAATTATGAAAAAAATTAAAAAGATAAGTCACGCATAAAATATTAATTATGTTTTATCATCTAACAACAATGAAAATATTAATTATAAAAAATTCATATAAGACGGACAGTCATACATTGGACATGGAAACTCAGGTTTTTTTTTTTTTAACGGAGGAAGTTCACTGCAAACACACCTGTGCAATCTCAATTCTCAACGCTGGTTAAAAAATAATGTTCTCCACTTAGTCAACACCACAGTCCTTATCTCTCCCCGATCACCCGATGCCGCGGCTCATTCCTCCACGGACAAAGCTCAAATCACCGCCATTGCCATCGCCATCGCCATCGCCATGGGTTCGCGTTCCGGCTCGACGACGATGAGTATGCCGCCGCCGGTGCCGCAGGAGAACCAGTCCGTTGGCAAAGGGACGGCCATCTTCAGCTACACCTGCGTCGGCCTCACGGGCGTCGCGCTCGTCGCCGTCGTCGTCTTCTACTGCAACCGCCACGTCCGGAGGCGTGCGCCAGTCGTAGCCGCCGAGGGCGCCGGCGGCGCCGGCGGGCGAGAGGACGACGTACTGCGTGGCGTCGCTGACGTGGCGGCCAAGATCCCGGAGTTCGCGTACGCGGGGTCGGCGAGGCACGGCGGCGGCGGCGAGTGCTCGGTGTGCCTCGGCGCGGTGCAGGGCGGCGAGGCGGTGCGGCGGCTGCCGGCGTGCAAGCACCTGTACCACGTGGAGTGCATCGACATGTGGCTGGCCTCGCACGCCACGTGCCCGCTCTGCCGGACGGAGGTCGAGCCGCCGCCGGGGGACGGCGGCGGCCGACCTGCGCCGGCGGCAGATGAGTCGTCGCCGACGGAGGCGCTGCCACCGGTGTAGCTAGCTCTGTGCTAGCTAACTAGATCTCCATCATCATCACATCACATATAGGAGTATATATCATGGTTAGTATTAGTTCATATACGATGGGGCCACTTGCATGTCATTTCTTGATTTGAACCTTAATCTAGATTGGCAAGTATACTTTGGTACAGCTTTGTAATTAAAGAACACTGAGAAATTAAAGATTCCAGTAAAATATGTTATAGAATTTCCAAGATTTTCTTTTTAGAAAGAGAGGGAGCTAGCCCTCTCCCATTTCATTAACGAAAGACAGTAGATTCTAACAGAGTCTTGTTACAACTTCTTAGCAGCGTCACTCCGACTGCAGTCTTCTTTGCGCGTCCTCTGATTTCTACAAAATGGATCATGAATCGATCCAAGAGCAAATGGCATGAATTAGTTCTATGGGGTCATGCAGTTTTTTCTGCTTGAAACAGGCAGACATTTAGTTTAACTGTTGTTTATCATCTGAAATGTGGTCCATTGGCATACAGATTTGACATTGCGTGAAATTATAGTTCTTTTTTCTCCAATAACAACAAAATTAATTAGATCTTTTTTTTCGTTTGGCGGTGAAGATTAATTAATTAGCTCCCTTTTAACTTCCATGTAACCTACGGAAGCAAGCTTCGTTGACATTCTGCTCACCATACCTACGACGTTTGGCGGTTTGCTAAAGTCAACTAGTACCGTACTCGACCGTATAAGCTATCTTGATTCTCAAATAAAGCCATAAACAAACATGATATAATTCGTTGAATTCAAAACTTTCCTCCAACGTCAGGTTCGTTGTTATCACAAAGTCGCAAGTTATCACTAGTAAGAAACTCGCGACACATAATCTCTCCTTATGCATATATTCTTCAGAGATCATTTAACATGGGGATTTTGTTAATCCTCCAAGTGGGATAAGAGGAAACAGAGAGAGAAGATGGTTGCCGGTTGGGCTTTTCAAAGGAAAAGTAAAACGAGGTTTGAACTCATTGCTTAGTTTCCTATATGGAATTTAAGGGCACTAAGGGTAATGTGTATGGATATTGTCCTTATGGGTAGGCCCCATAATAATGGTCTTCAGTTATTTTTGTTGCTATAATGGTGAGCTCTAGATGCACTTTAGACATGAGACCTATTAAGACATAAAAAAGTAACAGTAAGTAAAGACACAAGAAAGCGAGGGGGGTGGCAAAGGGGAGAGAGAGATAACCTTAATGTATTCCTTATGGTTAGTTATAGTGGACAAAAAGCTCAAATCTCGTGGCTTGAATCGGCTGTAGCGAGCTCGGCTCAGATCGACTCGAACTCGTAGTCTTAATAAGTCAAGCCAAGCTAAGCATTTAGCTCAGGAGCTTAACGAGTCAACTCACAGCTACTCGTTTAGCTCGTTAGTTCAAAAGATCAACATTATGTTCACATACTTAGTGTTTCTTAATTAACTAGTGATCTGTCCTTTAATTCCATCCAAACTATTTATGTTTAATGAATCGATTAGTTGGTAAAGTAGTATATTAAAAATTATAAAGATGATATAAATACTTAAACAAGCCTGATGATTAACAAGCTAGCTTCCGAGCAGGGCTAGGCTTTTAGCTCGTTAACCTTAACGAACCGAACCAAGACAAGCTAACTCGTTAAAGATAACGAACTCAAATGAACCGAGACTTAACGAGCCAAGCTAGCTCGTTATCCACCCCTGGTGGTTAGTCCTTAGGCATACGGTAGCTCATCCAAAGGACTACTATAATTAAGAACCACTCTCATAATATATAAGTATGCCATAAGGGCTTAAGACCCTTTCCTATTGCTATATTGTCGATGCAGTCAATCTATAGAAGCTTGGTGAGATCAAATCCTCTGTTCCAACTTCCTGTAGTTCTTTGTGTATGTACATACTGAGCAATTAAGCTTAGTGCTATAAATAAACATGATCCACTGGAAAAGAACGATGAAAGATTTAGATTGATCCCACTTTTAGCAGAGAGTAGAGACCAATGTAAAAAGTTATGTTACCTAAAAAAAATGTAAAAAGTGACATGTTGTTCAAGAGGCATGAATAAGAAATTGCTTAGGGATATAATGTAATCCTACAGCTTCTTTGTAACGCAAGATCCTAAAAATATAGAAATGGAAAAAAAAAGGCAGAATAGGATGTCACACTCCCTTGTGACGGTTGGGGAGTGGAGAGTGACGGTTGTTTTACTCCCTTTGTGATTATTTTGTGGTTGCTAGGGTTATAGATGGCCATATGGCCCGAGGACCGATGGCCCGCCCGAGGCCCGGTAATTTTGGCCTGGCCCAGGCATGGCACGGCCCGACTCCGGTTGTGCTCGTGCCGGCCCGGCCCAACAGCCGTGTCGTGCCTGGGTTGCTACCTCAGCACACTGGGCCGGAACGGCCAGGCCCGAAGTTTAGGGATGCGAACAGACTTTTTCTCAACCATATGTAATGCACGTCACGAAGAATATGGAGGCAAAATAGACTTATTATATGGCACGGCCCAAAGAGTAGGGTTGTAAATAGACTTATTTTAGCTATATATATGTCACAGCCCAAAGAGGAGGGAGAGGAAATAGACTTATTCTAGAAAAGGCAAGATGGGCCGCCTGTGCCTTCAAGCCGGCACGGCACGGCCCGACTACTGGTGGGCTGTTCCTGGGCCTGAGGTGCAGCCCATGGGCCGGCACGGCACAACCCGAAGTGCTGACCGTACCGTGCCGGCCCGATCGCCTTGGGCCGTGCCTCGCCCGTGCCTGGGCCGGGCGGACCTTATGGCCATCTATAGCTGGGGTCCCTTTTATAAAATTCTGGATTTATTATTTGGGAGGACTGTAATAGAAAACGTAAGGGCTGAAATAGAAAATTTCGTGTCAGTATTGCTAGGGATGCATGTGTTGTAGGATGAGTTTGTTTGAGTAGTTATATCCAACGTGGAAACAATTTGAGTAGTTATATCCAACGTGGAAACACTTTTTTCACAAGGCCATTCAGTTTGTGTAGCTTGCATTGTTAATGGCCTTATGGGTTATATCTTGTGATATCTCTGCTGGCTAGAGATAGCATAAGTTCATCTAAAACGATTATAAGTCATACCACTTATTTGCTACCAAACAATAATTTATAATCAGAAAACCTAGACAACGGTATCCCGTTGGAACTGGATACCCTTCTATGAGACAGTACCTGCTACCTGATACATGTTATGGTACCAGCTGCATGGTACCTCTGATACCTGTGATATTGCTATTAAAGAATTAATTAATCCACCCACAAATCATCATTCACATGGGGCGTACGTACGTTAACTCTAACCTCGCAAAAGATGGAGCTAGCGGCGCGACGTTGTTTGCTGCATGGAGTAGACGCTACGACACCAGCTAACTAGCCATGCTCCCCTTATCTAGCACTAGATAGATTACTACTACTATTCCTATCAGTCACCTGGCCGGCCGCTTCATGGGAACTCACCATGATAATCGATTTGGTTAATTTTTCCTTGAAAATGTTAGTAATTGATTTGATTATATTGTGGCTAGCCAGTTTAGTAGTGGTTTAGTTCAATTGGCCTCCCTTAATCCGCACGCTTAAGATCGGAAGGGCGCCGGAAAGCATCACATCACCAAGCTAGCTTGATCTGCTCCTGCCTCCAAGAAACTGCGAGAGCTACTACTGCTTGACATGCAGCCTAAGCATAGCTTAATCTTAGCTTAATGATGTCACCCTCACCCATGGTGGAATGCAGGACCAGCTAGTCATTGTTGTTTCTGGAACAAGTGGATCATTACCTGTATTAATCACTATATTTTTTCTCCTTTAAAGAAACGACTAAAGCATCCTCTCTGTTTTTTTTCTTTTTCTTGCGTTGTGTGCATTTGTGTGTGCTAAGCTCACATGGACAAGAGAGATTGAATCGATAAATGCAGTGACAGACCGGAAGATTTAGTACCGGTTCAGACATGATCAGACGGCCTCAAGAACGAGCGGGAATTAACACTTGAGAGTCATCTGTATGATCGTATTCAGATGATGTTCTGAGTTAGTATCAGATCAGATGGTTTAACAACAAAAACAATAACAGAGAAGATGTTCGTAAGAACAATGGCAAACAAAAGAAACTCCTTTCTGAAGTTCACTCAGGTTCAGAGCAAAGAGCAGTTAAAGAAGATCGGAGTTTACAGAGCTGGAATGTCCAAGAGATTGTAGTGTAAGCACTCATTTTCGGAGGACAAAAGTTTTTTTCCGCCTTTTTACAAATTCAAGAACAGGGGAGAAGCCGAGAAGGTGACGAATCGAAACAAGAACTAACTCATCATCCTATTCTTGAATGAGCTCTTGGAACTGGATCTTCATTTGTTGATCGAACAAGTCCAGCACCGGGCAGGCAGGAACGAACACGGCCGTCTTCGTCGTCGTCGTCGTCGACGATCACGGGCTCCCGTCGCCGCCGCCGCACACGAAGAACTCCGCGTCGGCGGCGGCGGCCGGCATGTCGTTGTGGCACGCCGACGATCCCGACGGCGGCACGAACCCACGGGGCAGCATCGCCGAGAACGCCCACGCGCCGGTGCCTCCTCCTCCTCCTCCCCGGCCGCGCCGCCCCGCCGTCCTCCTCCACCTCGCCGCGCCGTTCTTGCCCATGCCCATTCCAGGCCGCCCCGGCGCCGCCGCTTCCTGCGATCCCTGCTGTACCCAGCTCGCCGCGGCAACGTCCGGCGCCAGCGCCGGCGCTCGCGCCACCTGATCCGCCTCGGCTCGGACGGAGAGGGAGGAGACCAGCAGGAGGAGGAGAACAGCGACGAGCAGCGCGGCGCGGGAGGAAGCCATCATAGACGAGGAGGTGTACGTGGTTGCATGCGAGGAGATGAGGAGAGGATTTGGCTTTGGTTTTCTGATCTCTGGGGTGAAATGCCAAAGAAAAAAGAGGGAGAAAAAAAAACTCTTGGATTTGAAGAGGGATTACTCTTGACTTAGCTGCACCTGTTACTTATATAGCCTCTTTTGCTCAGTGTGTCTCTCTCAGCAGGGTTTTTTTTTTTTTTGCCTTTTTGGGAGAAAGAGAAGGTTTTGACTGACCTGGTTCTCTGGGCCGGGGGGCAGAGAATGGCTTAGATTCAGGCTCGATTGAATCTAACAATGGGATTGTGGGAAGAGGGGTCTTAAATAATGGGGAAAATCTTATCAAAAGAAAGAAAATACTAGTCAACTACTACCTCCGTTTCATATTATAAGTTTCTAAGTTAAACTTCTTTAGCTTTCATCAAATTTATAAAAAATATAACAATATTTTCAACATAAATAAAACTATCAAAATATATTCAATGCTAAACTTAATAAAACTATAATTATCTTGTTATATTTTTCTATAATTTAATAAAAATCAAAAAGTCAAAGCAATTTATAATATATGAAACGAAGGGAGTACACAGAAAATAGTCAAGTATCTCTGATATCTACGATGATGCAGTATACCAGACAAGTAAAAAGTTCACAACATTAGAGAGAAATTTCTAGAATTTCATATACATATAGTGGAAGTGCACAATTTTTGCATTTAGTTGTTTCAGGTAGTCTTCTTCACATTACTTTGTTTCGGTTATGCTGAAGGTGCAAGCGCACAAGCTACTATATGTGTACACCACACTTACACACCTAATACACGCTAAAAGGATGAAGATTGGTGGTAAATCCCTAGTCTCATTCTTTTGCACATTGTCTGTTCGAGCCTTCGAGGCGCGGGTTCGATTCTCCCAATCGAGAGTAATGCGTTAAACATTATCAATTCTAAAATCATGAGTTTCCTTTCATATGGTTATTTTAACATTTAATTTAATAAATTGATTAATTGATACAATTATATATGTGCATAGTGGAGGTAGCCTCAAGATAGGATAAGGCACCATCCGACTTCCATAACAGCTTAACAAACCAATTAGCATGTCATTCTTGTAATCATACTGGGCCCAGACAGTAGAGACTAACATCATCAACTGCCACTTCTCTCTCTCTCTCTTTTTCTTCACAACAATTAGATTAGGTGAGAGTGGTAAAAAGGTCGAGGCCTTTTTTGCATTGTACTACGAATCATAGAGAAACTTCAGAGGAAAGGAATTCTCTAATATAATAAAGTTTCCCATGGTTGAAGGATGAGAATAGATTAAGGTCAAACAATTGGAGTTAAAGACTTTCAAGATCTAACTTACACTGAATTACTGTCCGGCAACATTTGCTCTGCAGTGATTGGCCAACAATTTGGATGCAAGTACCAAAAAGTACTGACAGAGTAATATGACTTCCCATCACTTTTTATAGTGATATGTTTTCATGCAGTAATTACAATATGGATGAAATTGTTTGTATTCTTCACATGAAAATGAATCAACATATCAGCCATTAAAACTACTTCAGTACAATTTTAAATAAGTTTTGTTGACATGATGTTAGAAACGAGTGTTGTAGTGTATGCCTTCAAGACAGCATCAAATAGCCAGAGCAAAAGGCAAACGACAATGACTTAAAAGATGCACGGTGTTTGGACCAGTTTGTTACTCTTGCAAGCTGAAAACTTGAGTTTTAATTTCCAGCCAGCAGGCAGGCTGCCAAAATTCTTGAATGCCCTGATGTCCATGTAGTTATAAATTTAAGGATGTACTTAGATTACTTTTGCCGGCTGCTACCGGTGCAAAAGCCAGCTAATCAAGCTGACACCACAGAAGAGTCATCAAATGATCTCGATCTGTTCTCATCAGGATTGAAGTACAGTCCAAAAGAAAAAAACAAGTAAACTTCCTGATAATAACATGAAAAACCTGAATTCCTGTAAAAAAATTGTAATCACAAGTTGTACAAACAAATTCAGTATCGTTGTTGAGGTCTCATAAAAACAGTGAGAAGTAATTAAGCAGTATCTCCCCCACTGAACTCAGAAAATACACATCTCTAAAGAAAATAAATATGAAAAAAATATATTACCAATTGGATTACCAAGTAATTAAGCAGTGTGTTTTCCCCAAGAGTATAAAGCCATGAATCTTACTAGAACAACCCAATGCATTACCAATTGGATTGTAGTAACTTGACAAAATTAAATCCTGCAAAAACAAATTTGACCAAATTAAAAGTATACATTGTAGGATCCTTTCCTACAGTATTTTTCTTCAAAAAAGAGAAAGAAAGAAAACATTCAGAGATCTTCCAGCCATCCAGGGAGGGAGCTAGGAAATGCCAGGTTGGGCAGAGAGGTAGCCAGGGTTGCTAGCTGGGACCAAACAATTTAACAATCCTATAAATTTCTTTCGTATCAGCAACCTCAGGGAACTGGAATACGAGGAAAAACAAAAAGGATTGAATGCTCCAGCTGTCGGATTCAAAGGCAATTCAGTGTCATGTTCGGAGAAACGTAGCAGCAAGAACATCCTAAACTCTCACATCGGCAGAGAATGATTTGATGAATGCGTATACTACAGAGTTTTGGGGAAGAAAGAGAAATACCAAACGTATATGCTGTACCATATAGCAAATCTTCCTCCATGTATTTCTTTTTCTTTTTCTAAAATAGTACTATCTTACTACATTTTACTGTAGTATCAATGGCTCAATTAGTACTATAATTGAGGATGCTTTCTTTTCAGCTAATATTTAAATGACCGATGGACAATATGCAGATTATTGGTGCTAAGCACGATTCCTTTTAATATTTTCTATATTGACATTGCTCAAATAACTTTCTCTAAGCCACTCTTTGTTAGCTTTATAATATATAATATTTAATGTGTCCTTATAAAACAATTATCTACAATCAGTCCAATATCTATTTTAAACCCACCATGTGACACACTCTCTCCATCCACAAATATAAACGCTTTTAGATTTTGACACGGTTAATGATAATATATATACTCCCTATGTTTTAAAATATAATCATTTCTAGCTTGTTTAGCGAAGATTAATTGTTACCTTAGTGGTCGAAATTTAAAATTTAAATTGTTTAGATTCTCTTTGCTTGGATTTGCATGCATTGAATATATATCTATATGACTACAAAAAACATTAGTGATGGCATCACTTCTACTTTTACACTTTTACAAATTAATCACTAATATTTGTTGGTACCATGCAATAGTTAAGTATTTGTTCAAAACTTTGAATCAAGTGGATACCATATATTTAAATAAGCAAACAAGTAATGCTAATATATTTGATAAAAAATATTTTTTATCTATGGCATATTATTATATATTTTCTTTTACCCATACTTAAGTACGTGTATTTTGCTAGTACTAAAATGCTTATATTATGGTGCAAATTTTGAATTATAGTTTGAAATAGAGGAAGTATAGAAATAAATCATTTCATTTAAGAAAAACCTGCATATCATCACAGCTTGTTTAACGACTAATCTAGTAACACCATTCTTCATTAATCTTTAAATATTTTTACTACCAGAGAAAATACCCGTGCATTATAACGGGTAAAGTCTATTTTAATCTTAATATTGTTATATGGTTTAGTTAAGATGAAATTTATTGTGGGAGTTCGCTTGGATATATATATTTTTAGAAAATTATGAGCTGCAGTTAGGAGTCCGATCGGCTCAAGTTAGCATGCGAGTTTTTTTAAACGGATTTCTTATATGATTTCTTTTGTATTAAAAAAATGAACGATCTTAAAAACCGACTCATACACATATAACATACCAAAATACCGGTAAAAACATCTTCAATTTTTATAACAGTAGAGATTAAGCATCAAATTCAAACAATAAATGTGTAATAACATCATTCTTAATTATGTCTTCAATCTTTACGACTTTTTCTACTGACAATCAAAGTAAAAAAATGTTTACAACTGTTCTAAAAGCGTGCATATTTGGACCGAGCTAGGGAGTAATGCTACAAACTTGATTGATGGACACAACCTGGACCTGCAAAAACTGCTCAGTGCAATGACAGAAACAACACGAACTCTCACAACAGTACTCATCAGTACTCTCTCATTGTTTGCGTAGATGTGAACTCTCACGACAGTACTCTCTTGTTGTTTGCATAGATGTGACGGTTTGAGAAAGTAAGAGCACACTAACTAAATTAAATTAGAGCATCATGTCATTGGCCATGAAAATGACGGAATTAATTGATCCTGTGTACACAGCGAAAGAGCGATCGATGATTGAGAAGACACTACAGTAACAGTAGGAGTAAGTGTGTGTGCACTGATGCGTATGGTAAACTGGCTGACGCAGCGGCAGTGTCCTGACGTGTCGACTTGCTCCACGTCAGCTCGTCGACGTGGCCTCTGTAGGTGGGACCATCTTGTCAGCCTCTGGCAGTATGTAAGTTCGTCTTGTGAAATATGAGGCCGTATGAATTTCAGTGAGTGAGCGGCTCAGAGGCTATGATGGGCTTTAATATCTTTTCTGGCCCAACCATTTTCACAGTTAACTTCTCGAAGTGGCCATGTACTTTGAGACTCGTCCCAGCCTCTGTTGCTTTCATGACTTCGCGAGAAATGTCGAGCAATGTGAATAGGCCCGAATTTACTCAACAAGGCAGGTATTAACATGGCAGTGTAATATATGGAGAGAATCTATTCTATGCCTCTGAGTTTATTTCAGTTCAACGATTTACCATTGATTTTATCTCTCTATAATATGCCACCGACTTTGTTATTTTTTTCTACAATATGTCATTGGGGTGGATACTTTTTTAAAAATGCCTAAAGTGCCCTTCAAGCCATAGAGGGTTGACAACTAATCTACCTACTAGAAGCATTGTAAAAATATAAAAAATTTTACATAGCCCCCACACATAATATGAAGTGTGTGGATTTTAATATTTTCAATATGCATGTATTAATTTTTTTGAAAATATAATTTATGTTTCATATGCTCTAGCGTCGAGTTCGTTTATGTAAATAATCTTTCATATGCTACATAAAATTATTTTTCTAATATAGCTATGTTTTGTGTGTGTGATTCATCTTTCATATACCACATAAAAATAGTTTTTCAAAAAATATTTTTGAAAAAAAAAATCTTAAAATATATATAGAAACTTTATATCATATAAGAAGGCTACACTAAAACTTTCATATTTTTTTTCAAAACTTATAATGAGCCAATCAATTGGCAATCCTTGTATGGCTTGAAGGGAATTTTAGGTATTTTTTGAAAAATATCCATCCCGATGGCATATTGTAGAAAAAATTGACAAAGTTGGCATATTATAGAGAAAGACAGTCGATGGCAAATCATTAAACTAGAGTAAACTCAGGGGCATAGAATGGATTATCTCATATATATAACTTAGAGACTGGAATAAAATAAAGAGTAATTAGGATGATCTAAATCTACAAGAAGACTGTAAAAATAAACTTCGGTGGAATTTGACAAAAGAAGGAAGATTCACTGTGAAGTCTTTGTATAAAGCTCTTAAAATGCAACAAGTGAACTTTCGGCAGAAAAAAAAATCTGGAAATTTAAAATTTCTCTGAAGATCAAAGTTTTCATTTGGTTGTTTGTTAAAAACAAGGCACTCACAAAAGATAACTTATACATAAGAGGTTGAAGAAAAGGGGATAGAAAATGTCAATTTTGTGAAAAGATGAAAATGTACAATGCCCATGGCCAGACTTCTGTGGAATATAGTAACTTGTGCCCTTAGTTGGAAACCTATGCTGAATAATCAAGATCTGTTTGGACATTGGCTTAACAATCTTGTAAACACACAAAAAAACCTTCTTGTGATAGGAACTAGTTGGGCGGCCAGCGCAATTGCGCGGCTAGCATTAATTTAAAATTATTTATTTATTATACATGATTTTATTTAAAATTATCATTCCCATGATTCTAATTATTTTATAGTTTTTAAAATCCACGCCAGTCACTACCCCTCACTCCTTTGACACCTTTTTTATATGGTTACTCGATCTACCACTACTTCTATTCATCCTCTTTAGAACTTTAAAAATTAGGCCTTATAGTTTTTAGAGTTTATTATCTCGTATTAGGTTCTTATATGGACTTTTATTTAAACATTTCTTATTTTAATTCCTAATTTCAGATATTTTTAAATTGTATTCCTAGTTGGACTCTTCTTTTTTTTCTAATTTCTGGTTTTATTTTATTTTTATTCCGAATTTTGTTTAATCTCGTATTGGGTTCTTATATGGACTCTTCTTTTAATATTGCTTATTTTTAATTTCGAATTTTAGTTCTTTTCAAATTGTATTCCTACGTGAACTCTTCTTTTATTATTTTTTAATTTCAGATTTTATTTTATTTTTATTCTGAATTTTAATTAATCTCGTATTGTGTTCGTACATGGACTCTTCTTTCAATATTCCTTATTTTTAATTCCGAATTTTAGTTATTTTTAAATTGTATTCCTACTTGGACTCTTCTTTTTTTTCTAATTTCGGATTTTATTTTATTTGTATTCTGAACTTTGATTAATCTTGTATTAGGTTCTTATATGGACTCTTATTTCAATATTGCTTATTTTTAATTCCGAATTTAAGTTATTTTTAAATTGTATTTCTTCTTGGACTCTTTTTTTTCTAATTTCAGATTTTATTTTATTTTTATTCTGAATTTTGATTAATCTCATATTGGGTTTCTATATGGATTCTTTTTTCAATATTGCTTATTTTTAATTCCGAATTTCAGCTATTTTGAATTTTTATTAATCTCGTATTGGTTTTCTATATGGACTCTTCTTTCAATATTGCTTATTTTTAATTCCGAATTTTAGCTATTTTTAGATTGTATTTCTATTTGGACTCTCCTTTTCTTTTTCTCTGATTAATGTGGGAATTTCTAGCCCCCACAGCGAACATGGTGTCTTCTTTCAAAACTGTTTTAATAATATAATAGAATATAATAGATAGATAGATAGATAGATAGATAGATGGCTGCAATTATTTGGCCATTTGGAAAACTAGGGATAGAGCTTGTTTTGAGAAAAAAAAAACCCAAATAACCCCACTGATTTGGTTTTTTTGGCAATGCCATTGGGTTGAACCCTGGGCTGTTATGCAGAAGCCGGAAGCAAGCCCAAAGAAATCTGCAGTTTAAGATTCGGATAGAGGGCTGGCATCAGGAGGATTGAAGGCTGATGGAGATACTGGTCATTTGGAGAAGTGGGGCTTCAGGGGTTTTCGTGTTCTCCTCCGCATAAAAGTTTGTTGATGTATGCTGGCTTGATCTAATCTGTGTTGAGAGTAGTTTCTGTTGAAGGGTCAATTCTGGGCACAGGCCCCGCTGTTAGTAACTTCAATTCGCTTTTTGTTTTTGTGTTCAGTTTTAAACTGCTTTGTACCAGACTTCTATAGCGTGTTTGCTCATTTCTAGTAAGAGAAATGGGGGACTTCATGACCTAGATCAAAAAAAAAAAAAGAAAATCAGTACTCTGCACAATTTTCGTCAGTACTAGTTTGCAAGCGTTTTTTTACATCATATTCAGGGTTGTTGAAGTAGATACGGAAACGTGTGAAGCGCAAACTTGGCCGGGGTTTCTGAATACATTATACCTGGAAAAGCTCTAATCACGCGAGCTGGTGGGTAAAATGTATCTGATTCTGTCATATAGATAGGTAAAACATTCATCGCGATCGATTGCCTTTCTGGCTGGAAAAATCTCTGTTTGGTTCGTGATCTAGAACAGGAGAACTTGTGAGCATCTCAAACCTCCTTGCAGTTGTATATATCTTCAGAACTTGATGTCTTCTTATATTAGCTTACCTACTGTACCAATCATACTATCTTTTCTAGAACTTGATACATGTGTAACCAATCTAACCTAGAAAAGTTGTTTTTTTTAATGGAAGCAAGATAACTAAGACAATGATGATCAAATAAAGAACAAACAATGCTCTAATATGAAACTGTGAACATCCATATATCTCTTCTTTTGTACCTATAAATACCCTGTACAGAAATCATTAGTTCAGTACAACAATAGCATCGATTAACACAGTGATTAAGAAAGAAAGAAACAGCTAATTAATCAGTCACTAAGCCAAACCATGGGCAAGAACGCGAGCCGCCTCGCCGTCGCCGCCGTCGTCGTGTTCGCGCTGCTGCTGTCGCTCCGGCAGCTGGAGGCGGCCGACGACGTCTCCGTGTCGTGCTCCGACGTGGTCGCCGACGTGACGCCGTGCCTGGGGTTCCTGCAGGGAGACGACGACCACCCCTCCGGCGAGTGCTGCGACGGCCTGTCCGGCCTGGTGGCCGCCGCGGCCACCACGGAGGACCGGCAGGCGGCGTGCGAGTGCCTCAAGTCGGCCGTCTCCGGCCAGTTCACCGCCGTCGAGGCCGCGCCGGCGAGGGACCTGCCGGCGGACTGCGGCCTCTCCCTGCCCTACACCTTCTCGCCGGACGTCGACTGCTCCCAGTAAGTACACTTTGCAGTAGCAGTAATCCAGTGACACGCCATGCATTGTGCTATAGATGGCCATATGGCCCGAGGCCCGATGGCCGGTGATTTGACCCGGCTCAGGCATGGCACGGCTTGACTCGGGTCATGCCTGTGCCGGCCCGGCCCAACAATCATGCTGTGCCTGGGCTGCTACCTCAACACGCTGGGCCAACACAACCCGGCCCAAAGTTCAGGGATGCGAAACATACTTATTCTCAACCATATGTAAGGCAGGTCACAAAGAATAGAGAGGAAAAATAGACATATTATATGGCACGACGTAAAAAGTAGGGATATAAAATAGACTTATTTTAGCTATTTTAAAGAGGGAGGGGAAATAGACTTATTTTAAAGAAGGCACAATGGGCCACCCGGGGGAAGTATCCGGTGCAATCATGCAACTTTCATCTTACACTGTTGGATCGAGAAATGGACGCCCGAGATTCATCCATGTCACCATGAGTTAAAATTTAACTCACAGATTCCCTCATGAGTTAAGGGCTGGTTTGGTTTGAGGCATATATTGGCCTTACCAATATTTGTCAATTTCAATAGTGTTTATTGTCTATTTGGTTTGGAGCCAAATTTTGGCATGCCTAAGAAAATAGGCCATTTCAACAGTTAATTTAGGCTATTTTGGCTTCAATCCAAACACAATTTTACCTTTGCCAAAATTAGCCATGCTAAAAGTTGCCAAAATTTGACATTGATAAAATTTGGTAAGGCCAATTTAGGCCACAAACCAAACCAACCCTAAAATTTACTGGGAGTTAAATTTTAACTCATGTTGACGTGGACGAATCTCAGGTGTCTATTTCTCGATCCAACGGTGTAAGATGAGAGTTGTATGGTTGCACCGATTAGGTGATTGCACTAGATACTTCTCCGGGCTACCCGTGCCTTCGGGCCAGTACAGCATGGGCCGACTACTGGTGAGCCGTGCCTGGGCCTAAGGTGCAGCCTGTGGGCCGGCACGGCATGGCTCGAAGTGCCAACCGTGCCGTGTTAGCTCGATCGCCTTGGGCTGTGCCTAGCCAGTGTCTGGGTCGGGTCGTGCCGAACGAGACTCATGGCCATCTATACATTGTGCGTAGAGGTGGATCTTTAACGTTAACGAGTTAAAGAGCTACAATTAGGCTCGGCTTGTGCGCTGGCTCGTTAAATTCGTTAGGCTTGTTTCATTTGTATTATATTAATAATTTCAAATTTACTATTTTATTATATATTAACATAATAAAAAACAATACTAACTAATAAAAAAACTCACTAAACACGAATGTTTTAATGTAAATTAAAATACTAAATATTAGTTAAGTAGCACTAAGTATATATAGATATGGTTATATCTTATACTAACAAGCTAAACGAGTACGGAGTAGATAACATGCTAGCTTGTTAAGCTCGCGAGCTAAAGATTAGCGGCCCCATCATTTCGCTTATTTGTGTAATAAACCAAAAGACATATAAAAGTAGTTTGTGAATAAAACTTTTATATACGTGTTCTTAACGATCTAAATGCAAAGGCTAAAAAATAAACTTCAATGAAAAAAACCTCAAAATCAGCTCTAAACATATGGTTGAAAAAAAAACAAATTTTAGCTGATAAGTATAAACATAAGCGAAAAGATGAAGCCCTAGCTCGACTCGACTCATTAAAACTACAAGTTCAAGTCAATATGAGTTACGAGTTTCGAGGTTTTATCCGCCCCTAAATATATGTGATAGTACAATCTCGGTTGAGCAATGTGGATGGTTGGATCTCAATCAAATGACATAGTTCAGCCTTGATCAGTTGATTGTCAGGAAAGGCCAGCCTCTCTACGATTTTTTTTAAAATAATACTATATTAATGGAAAATATTACTGTGGTGCTTCCATATGATAGAGATTTTAGTCATCAACCTCTATGTTTACAATTTTTCATTAAAATATTATTATATTATTTCAAAAATAATCCTCTTAATTTCTCCACATTCCACAGCGATCTGTCTCTCTTTTCTCTGCGCTTATCTTTGTGCCTTGACCTTGACAACCACCATTGCCAAGCAGCAGAACAAATCTCATACTATCATATTCTCCGATGTGTCAACACTTCAGTAGTATTAGGCCCAGGGGACCTTTTTTAGGCCCAGGGGACCTTTTACTATCGGGAGATGGGTTAGCCCTCCCCACGGTAAACCCTGTTACTGTTACTGCGGTTAAACCTGGCGAAACTGACGAGAAAAGAATGCCAACAACTTTTACCGGAAATTTTATTCTTTATTTTTATAATTTGGTCGATATACCAGGGTGTTATCAATTATCATACCCCGACGATTAGCTCACAATAACTACCAATATTGTAAACCCTAATTAGGCCATGCACGCAACATATCAGAACCAACATATAAGCCTGCTTGTTTGTTCTTTGGTTCTGCACCTAAATTTAAATTATAGAACTTAATTTTAGATTAATTTAAAGAGTATTTCATCTCTTTCTATTTTTCAGCATTAGCTTTTGGAGTACAAAGTGCAAAAGCATATAATTATGGTTGCTTCCGTCACTTGTCTTCAGCTTACATTCTCTGTTTTTGAATAGGATATTGCATTAAACCTATAATAATCAAATATTTGCATTTAATATTACAATATTACATTAATATCCAATAATGAACTTGCGCAATCTGGATGATCATATCGAAGATAACAATACACTGACGGACTTGCGCAATCTGCAGGAGTCAAGGACACAATCATGCATTCAAGCAGCCAAATAATTCGTCTACTGGACCACAATTGCCTCCCAGAAATTAAAATAAATTAATCAAACGAGGAACATGTTCACAAATAAAACAGGCTGTATAAAGTTGGATTGCACGGCGACGAAATATTTTATATCTCGCATGCACTAACCTTTTTTTTTCTTCTCTGCTTTCATTTCTATCCGCAGGATTGAGTGAAGAGAACAAATTAAAAGACAGTGTGTACTGTGTCTTGTGTGCTTGAACTACGTCGAGATGAGACATAAATTCTCCTTTGTGTATTTGTGTGTCAGCCCGTGTGCCATTATACTTTTTTGTCTTCTCCTTTTGTGCTAATCTCTGTACTTAGTGTGTGCTATTACTGTACTACTGTACTCCTTTTAGTATTTGTGCCTGAGCTTTTATGATGATGACATCCATTTGTTAGTAACTTTATAATCTTTGCGCCCATCAGGTGAAAAGAACAGGTTGAACAACCGCAGCTCAGAGAATGGCGGCTAAAAAAAAAGACCAGGACACAATTAACTAAAGCTACCATTATAATATCCAGACTTTCGGCCAATATTAATACAGATTTCAGAACAAATTTCACGGTAATTTATACAAAACATTTCATTTCTAAATGTAATTGGAAAAAGAAAAACCTCTGCTCATAGAGTTCCAACTAAATGCATGGGTGGATAAGGCGGATCACACCATTTTAATGGTTTCAATTTTCGACCCCTCTAATTGTGCTTGCTAATGCTCTGAAAAAAAAAATCTAGATCGGCCACTTAATAAATGTGAAATGTATCCTGATAATTCAAAGAACGTACTAATTAATGACTAATGTGACCATCTCCTTGACTAACCATCAACTATAATCAACACGTTCACCTTGTGTCACGCCGGCGTCGTGGGCGCGGGCGCCGCCGCGATCTTGCCGTGCTCGAGGTTGTCGGCAGCCGCGTCGTCCGCGTGCGCGACGTCGTAGGTGGCGTGCACGCCGAAGAGCACGTAGTAGACGAGCATGGCGGCCGTGCAGATGCCGAAGCGGGCGTACGCCGCGGTGCCCAGCGACCCCATCAGGAAGAGGTTGGTGGCGATGGACATGGCCGGCAGCCACGGCACCAGCGGCGCGCCGTACACCCGCGGCGCCCGCTGCTTCTCCGCGCACGCCGCCAGCCCCGCCGCCCCCGCCGCCCACCCGCAGCCGAACGCCGCGTACCCTGGCCACCGCCGCGCGTACCGGGAGTTGTAGTAGGCCGAGACGCCGATGGAGGAGAGCACGACGAGCGCGAGGAACGCGAGGAAGGTGCGCAGCTGCCCCGGCGTCGTCGCCCCCGCGACGTGGTAGCGGCGGACGAGGAGCGCCACGGCGACGAGCGCGAAGATGAAGAGCGTGCTGATGGAGGAGACGGAGGCGAGCACGTCGAGGCTGGAGAAGAGCGCGACGCAGGCGGCGCCGAGCGTGACGGCGACGGTGGCGTAGATGGGCGTGCCGGTCGTCGGGTGGACGAGCGCGAAGTACGGCGGGATCATGTGCGTCCGCGCGATCTGCGTCGTGTACCTCGCCTGCCCCAGCGCGCCGACGAGGAGGCCGCTCGTCATCCCCTTGAGCGCGCCGAGAGCCACCACGTAGCGCGCCCACCTCATCCCGGCCGCGGCGAACGCCACCGAGTAGGCGGCGTTGGCGTCGATCTCGGTGTACCGCTGCATCCCGACCAGCGCCAGCGACATGAGGCAGTACACGACGGTGATGGAGGACATGGACGAGATGAGCCCCAGGGGCACGTCGCGGCCGGGGTTCTTGGTCTCCTCCGCCATGGTGGCCACCATGTCGAACCCGGTGTACGACCAGTACACCACCCCCGCCGCGCGGAACACGCCCGCGGCGCCGAAGGGGAAGAAGGACGGCGCGAGGTTGCCGGCGTCGAAGTGGGAGAACCCCGCGGCCAGCACGAACGCGATGATGGCGATGCCGACCACCGACGCCAGCGAGTTGAGCGTGGACGTGAGGCGCGCCCCGGACATGGCCACCGCGGAGGTGCTGACGAGCACCACGACGGCGATGGGGTCGAGCAGATTGAACCCCTCGGCGAGCGCCGGGACGTGGATGCGGAGCGAGTCGGTGTCGCGGCCGAGGAGCGCGGCGAGGTACGACGTCCACGACCTCCCAAGCCCGGCCGCCCCGACGACGGCCTCCAGCAGTATGTTCCCGGCGGCGAGGAACGCCGCGATGTCGCCGAGCTCGACGCGGAGGTACGAGAACGAGCCCCCCGCGGAGGGGATCTCCGTGGCGAGCTCGGCGTAGCAGAAGGACGACAGCAGCGCGGAGAACCCCGCCGCGGCGTACGCGAGCGGGATCGCCGGGCCGGCGTCGAAGCGCGCCTCCTGGCCGGTGAGCACGAACACCCCGGAGCCGACGACGGAGCCGAACCCGAGGAACGCGAGGTCCAGCCACGACAGGCACCGCCGCAGCGGGTTCTCGCTCACGGCGCGCAGCGTGCCGGCCTCCGCCGCCTCCGACGAGCGGCTCCCCACGCGGTCAACCAGCCGCGGCACGGTGGCCGCGAGCGCGCCGCCGTAGGACCGCCAGCTCGCGAACGACGGCTCCGGGAAGAAGTCCGCCTTACTCCACCGCCAGTACCGCCGCCCACTCCCTCCCTCTCCCGCCGCCGCCGCCGTCGCCATCACCGGCAACACACACGCTGACACGGACGAATGGACGGAGGAGAAGATGCCGCGTGTTAGCTAACCACCACCAACCACCGACAAGCCATCGCCATGGAAGAGCTGGAGATAGTGCGGCGGGCGGGTGGGTTGGAGAGATCGATACGAGAAAATCATCACAGGATAAACTCGAATTTATCTATCTACGCGCAAAACAGAATCAGCTCGGGATTCAGGGGAGAATTTCTCAGCCCGGCGAAACAGAATTTCAGAGAAGCGCGCGAACTTTACGCGCCAGCGCCGCGCCGCCAACAAGCGATGCATGCCATCCTCACCGTGCAGGCTACTGCTACTACGAATCTAGACAGCGCGCTTATCCTGATTCATAGAATATATCTAGAATGAGTAAATTGCGTTGATGCTAAAGACCTATCTCATTTTATAGAAAACCCCCTAATATGATTTCTTAACGTACACATATCTCATTTCATCTTTCTTGACGTGATCCTGATCGAGAGGTGGCTGCGTTGGTGGCAGTTACTACTAGAAAAAGCATTTTTCCCGACGTACGGGTCTCATTTTCGCAAGCGGACATAACCCTTAGAGCCAAATAACCACCTACAAAAATATAAATCGAGGTGAATGTGTCGGTCACCTGCGAAAATCTATTTTTGCAGGCGGTCCTTTCGCTGGCGCCGCTTAAGAGATCCGCCTGCGAAAATAGACTTGACTATAAATAGACTTTGGATAGACTTAGATTTTTTCTAAGTCTCAAAACGCACCCCTCCCCTCTCCTCCCCTCGGCCGGCCTCTCCCACGGCGGCTACAGCGCGGGGCGGCGCGCGGCGTCCGGCGGCGCAGGGCGGCAGCGGAGACGACGGCGCGAGCGGCGGTGGCGGTGGCTCCCCTCCTCCTCCCTCCCAGATCTGGCCGGAGGAGGGAGGGGGGAGGTCGGCGGCGGCGGCGGCGACGACGGCGCGGGGCCGCGGCGACGATGACGCGTGCGCAGGGGCCGCGGCGGTGGCTCCCCTCCCCCTCGCTCCCAGATCTGGTCGGAGGAGAGAGGGGGGAGGCCGCCAGCGGCGGCTAAGGCGCGGGGCGGCGGCAGCGACGACGACGCAGGGCCGCGGCCACGACGACGCGCGCGCGGGGGCCGCGGTGGCGGCTCCCCTCCCCCCCTCGCTCCCAGATCTGGCCGGAGGAGGGAGGGGGGAGGCCGGCGGCGGCGGCTACGGCGCGGGGCGGTGGCGGCGACGACGGCGCGGGGCTGCGGTGACGACGACATGCGCGCTGGGGCCGTGGCGGCGGCTCCCCTCACCCCTCCCTCCCAGATCTGGCCGGAGGAGGGAGTGGAGAGGCCGGCGGCGGCAACTACGGCGCGGGGCGGCGGCGACAACAACGCCCGGCGCGGCTCCCCTCCCCTCCCCTCTTGCCCGGCGCGGCGATGCTGGAGGAGGGCGGCGGCGACGACTGCCGCCCGTGATTTTTTTGCCCGCCGCATGTGATTTTTTTTTGTTTTTTTAATGTATTTTCGCAAGCGAGCTGTTACCCCGATTGCGAAAATGGATGATTTTCACAGTCGTTGACTTACAGGCGGTCCAACTCTCCGCCTGCGAAAATCACTTTTTGCCGCCTGGAAAAATACTTTTTCTAGTAGTGGGTGACGACGCAGTGGCGGTGGCAGCGGTGGCGACGACAACGAGGGAAACCGTGCAACTACATCGCGGCGGCGATGAGGGCTCCGTGTGCCACACTAGTTGAAGCCCTAAACCAATAACCAAACCAATTCAAGTCCACTAGTTGCACCATGAGCGCACTCACCTAGCCAAGTTATAAAGTCAACGCAATTTACTTTTCTAGATACATGGCATGGCATTATACTATGTCCAATCTAATTTACTTTTTATATTTTGGAGCAGAGGGGTAACTGCATCTGCCAAATTTCACACTCGATTTTTTTTAAAGACAAAACTAACTTTAATTATCATTAATAATCTTTTTACCCTGGCTGCAAAATAAAATCTTTATCACAAAACTGAAATTTTAAATCTAATGCTTTGAAATCATTTTTTAAAATAAACAAATTTGGAACTTTCAACTTAAAATTTAAAAACCTTACTCAATTTTCAAAACTTTCAACTCCAATTTTAAACCTTTCCGTTTAAAATTTTCAACTATAAAATTGGAACTTTCAAATTATATTCTAAAACCTTCGATCAATCATTTATTTATTGTTTTATTTCAAAAGTGATTAAGCATAATAAGCGGTATGCCTGGAGTTAATTACGTTAAAAAAACAAAACATTGAAATGAGCGTAGGTCAATTAATTAGGTTGTGTAATAAGGTCTCTCGGATTTAAATATTTTTTTATACGGGTACTCGTATTTATGAGTAACTATTTTTTTTTTGGTAGACCACGTAGGCTAACCCGTGGAACTCACTTGCATACTAAAACAAGCCAGGAACCCGTCCTCATCCAGCAGTCCAGGTCCTCGGCATTGTGGGCTTGTAGCCATCCATAAGATTGAGATGATGACCGGCAGTCGCGGTGTGGAGGGAGCCCTGCAAGGCTGCAAGCTGGAGCGCAATGCGGCAGCCATGCATGACCTTGAGCTCGGAGGCCTCGTTGCGGGGGTGGTGACCGTGAAGCTGGAGGCCTACCGTGCTGATGATGGGATCTGCCCCCTCTCCCTTCGCTGCAACTAGATCCACCCCCATGAGCCCCAAGTTTCGCATCTGCCCGTCACTGCCGACTGCATCGCCCTGAGCTCCGCTTCTGTCGATCAACGTTGGTCCCACACCTCGAGCCTCTGCCACCACCAAAAGGCTGCTAATGGAGGATATCCATATGTGGAATGATAGGGTGAGCCGTTCTTGGCGACGAAGATCTAGCAATGTTGATGGTTAGCCCTTCTTTGTGATGAAAGGAAGGAGGGAGAAGCGAGAGGGTGTGGTGAGGAATAAGATGAGGAGGCCAGGAGGGGAAAAGATGGTGGCGGCAATGTACGAGATGGAACCGAGGCCAAGATTTGTGTGGGGAGCGTAGAGGTCGGAAACAAAAGAAGAAGCGCCACGGCAGGAAATGGGGGGAGGGGGGAGGGGGACTCACTTTTTCTTAAGGTCAAGTTCCAACCCTCCATCTAAAATGGTGTTTATGGTATTAACTACATTGTCATGTAGGACTTTTAACTTATGTGGCACTATATTAATTAAGAGAGAGAGTGAAGAGAGGAAGAAACTAGATCTCATGCAAGAGACAGCTTCAACACGAGAACCTATACACTAGACACTGTCAAGTTTTACATTGGGAGATAATAGTGTCTTCATAATAGATGAAAAATAAATATGATTGGTAGAGAAGAGAGATGATGTATTTATTAATGGCCCACTTTAAGAAATCATGGGTTGTGGAGTGTAGTTTCTATTGTGATGTTTTATTGACATGGCACCATAAACACTGCTTATAGACACTATGGGTTGGGACTGCCCTAATAAGCCAAGACAGGCTTATTAGGGAATAAAATTAAATTTGTAGGTAAAACTTTTATATATGAGTTCGTAGCAACTTCAAAACCAATAATAAAAAAGAAACTACGATGAAAATATCTTAAAATCAACTTCAGAGTTAAGTTTGAAAATTCAAATTTTAGCTTTTGCTTTGATTTATTAGTGCAACCAATGCGCTCGAATACGGGGCAGGATGACAACGAATATGAGTAGGCAGTCGCCGGCAGCGAATGGGAATTGGGTGTCCTCGAAGCCTCGAGGACAAGTAGGGATAAAAATGGAGTAGATAGTTTCCGTCCGCTCCGAAGAAAAAGAAAACAAATACGGATAATAATACATATATCTTTCGTATTCGTGTTCATCGGATACCTTTCGGATCGGATAATTCTCGAATAGGTCGGATATAGATACAAATATGTATATTTTCTCTCGAATACGAGTACGAGTATGATATCGAAGTTTCCATCAGATATGGATAATAATTCGGATATTCGATAAACAGTACTATTTGGATATCCATAGAAGCCATAAGACATAGGAGTACCTAATTTCATTATAACTCTATGACCTTCAATATACATTTTTTAGATTTTAATAGTAGTTCATCTCTTAACACTAGTCCACACTATTAATATTATTTAAATTTTTAAAAATATTTATAAATTATACTATATTTTATATAAAATGAGCTAATTATATATAGATATTTGTTTCTATTAGAAGTTGAGTTAGTTTTTGTGTTCCGAGAAAATTTTGTTGCCGTATTCATGTCCGATCATATTCGATTCTTATTCGTATTCGAGATAATTCATATTTGTTTCCGTATTCAAGCTATCTATATTCGTTTCCATATCTGGCATATAAACGAATATGGTATGAGTATTATCCGTCTGTTTATGTTCCTAACGACAAGTATGCTCGCAGGGCACAGACAGATTTGGGGGCTAATCCATGGGCACAACCACAATCCATGGATTGGCCTTCTTTGTCAACCTGCATCCACTTCAGCCCAAACCGTAATTCTTCATAGGCCAGACCGCTCCACTCCAAAATGAAATCTTAGCCCATTCAAAACCAACCAATGTGATCCAAATGAACATCCACTACACTTAACCCAAACAAACCCACCCTACTAAGTAGGCATAACTACAACACACTGCAATTCCGCTCTCGCTTCACTAAAAAGTTTGAGCTTGGTGTTACAAGCCATCAGGCATCCATCCTTACAAACTAGTGCTTCTCTAGTTGGCTGGTGAGGTGGGACCATAACATCAGTTACGTTGTTTCTGCTGCCGACTGCCTGCATGATTGCTGCTGATCGGCTGGATGGCCCAAGGCCCGGGCCTGCCGCTGCACTAGTGTCACTGCTTGCACTACTGCTGCCTTACGCTGGCCCAAGGCCAAAGCATCCCAACCAGCTCAACAACTCTTCTATTAACTCTTTTTTCATTTTTGTTCTTTTCAAATATTGTGGAGCGATACAGATACCCATACTCAAAGATTTAACGTCCCCGTCGTCTATATCCGAGAGCGATCGATCGCTAGGGGCGATTAGATTTCTGATTTCCTTTTTTGGCACCGCATTACTTTCCTATTTTAGTAAATTTATACACTTAAAATTTATACACCTCAAGTTTATACATCTCCACAAATTTTTTTACAAAAACAAAAAGTTAGAAAAATTTATGTATAGAAATACTATATATAAAAAATTTGAATTCAAATTCAAATTTAAATTTGAATCGGGTATGTAAACTTTTAACTTATAAACTTTGGGTCTATAAACTTTAGGTGTATAAACTTTAGATGTATAGAAATACTATATATAGAAAATATTTGAATTCAAATTTAAATTTGAATCGGATATAATTCAAATTCAAATTTGAATCGGGTATATAAACTTTAGGTCTATAAACATTAGGTGTATAAACT